GCATATTTGCCAAGAACTGAAAACTGTTTTGAGAAAATCACACTACCTTACTCGACTGGATGATCGAGACAAAGAATGAATGAAATTCTCGCTTTCCGTCGAGTCTAAGAAGGAACCTGTCTGGTAAGAAAGATTTTACTGTCATATTATGAGCTTTATATTTCCGCTCCTTAATGACCAATTCGATAAGTTATTTATGTAGCGGGCCTGGCTTAAAGCAGTTAGCATGACAGCGCCTGGTGGGAAACGTGCAGATGGAGAACACGGATTGGCTCTAGCGTTTGATAAACATGTATAAAAGAATCAGTCCGTCGCTGAAGAGGGACCGTGATCTGTGAATTTTTTCGTGTAAAGTCCTGCATATTCGTGATGGAGAATAAAGTTACACGATCTGGCAGTGGCGCGTCATCCTCACATGCAGACAAATCTCCCAGCGGCTGATGGGATGGACAATCACCACAGCGGACCCGCTCAGCGGGCTGTTACATATGATTTACTGTACTTCCAGTTTCGCTCCATTTTTCGTTACTCCTTAGGCATTCATATCCACAGTAGAAAAAGCTGCTACACACTGAAAATAAAAATTATAATAATGGAAAATCGTCTGATTCGACGTTTGAAAGCAGTAAAATCAGTACAAAGATTTGAAAGCATTTAAAGTATTTGCAAGTTTCACCGAGTGCTGAACTAATCATCGTTAGGATCACGAGTTTTAATCTATGAGATCCAGTCATGTCTGAAAGAACTGAAGCATACAGAAAATCTGCGATAACATTAATGGCTTGTGCTTTGTAGAATGAGGGCCGATCAACGCAAAATTTTATTCAATCGATCCTATCCTGTTAATCTGCATATTTAGATATCATTCACTGAAATGTTAATTTTTTACTGACGAATTTCTTTCATTGTTTATTACCTGCATATTTTTACCATTGTTTAATTTTAGAGACGGTTATTTATTATAAGACATAATTTTATTCGAAATTACACAGAATACAACAGTTTTTGGTGCAAGACCAAGGTTTCGGCTGTCGTTAGCAGTCCTTCTCAAAGTGCAAACAATCAATATGATAAACAGAAATATGGTAGCACGAGATAGGCAAGAAGTATTTACAACAAACGATTCTTCATTGTTTGCAATTTACACAAGCTACGCAATGAAGGAGAGATATAAAACACCTTCATCCCTGTTCATACGTTGAGTCTTGTTTGGATTAAGAACGCTTCGACAGCTATGTGCTATTTGTAGCTCCCAACCGTAGTTACTAGGTTTGGTAGTTAAAGTCGCTGCTACATCCAGCTAAAATATGGCAGGGTCCTGCAGCCGTGCATTTTTCCACGCGTCACTTTTGTTCAGTCATTGGATCATGATGGTCGCCGCTTCTTATGCTCTACTCCTAGTTCGTAATTGTTTCACAGTTTGACCAATTTATCAAAGCTGGCAATCTTAGTAAGTTATTGAGTAAATCACATTGGTCTTTTCTTCATTCGCTATTTTTTCTTTAGTCTTCGCCATGCGAAATCTTAATTTCTCGTTTGATTTGAAGACGGTCCTGATGATTACCTCTTCTAGCACATATCTGCTCAACCCTGAAACGCCGGAAACATAGGGAATAATGACGGCGCATGTTGGAGTGTTCGTGGTTGATGAAAGATGTTGTTCCGGTTCTTCACTGCTCCTTTAATGAACTGATGCGGATAACCGCTTGTCTGTATATCTCTCCTTTCTCACGTGGTCGATTTCACGTTGATGCTCTGCTGAGTCGCATTTCAGTCGCACCGCTCTGTCAAATAAGCTTTTGACCACACCTGCTTTCCTGCATGTCACGAAGGTGCATTTAAGAGCCACTCTCGTTAATAAGAGCAGAAAAGCGTTTCACAGACTGATTGATAAATAAGTAAACATTACATCTTACGCATGTTTTCATAAAACACGAATCATTTTAATGCATCTAACAACATTATAGACATTTTTTAGGTACACTGACG